TGGTCAGGCAGGATTTCCCCTTAGTGAAACCATGCTGGCTGTCACCAACCACCTCGCTGTTTTTCATGTGCCTCAGCATGCTTTCCAGGAGAATCTGCTCCAAGATTTTGCTGAGCACAGAGGTGAGACTGACTGGTCTTTAGTTCCCTGGGTCTTCTACCTTCCCTTCTTGAAAATGGGGGTTACATTTCCCTTTTTCCAGTAGTCAGGAACTTCACCTGACTGCCATGATTTTTCAAATATGATGGACAGTGGCTTAGCAACTTCATTCGCCAGCTCCTTCAGGACCCATGGATGGATTTCATCAGGTCCCATGGACTTGTGCATGTTCAGGTTCTTAAGATGGTTTCGATCCTGATTCTCTCCTACAGTGGGCCTAAGGTCTTCATTCTCACAGTCCCTGTATCTGCCTTCCAAGACATGGGTGGTGTAGTCTGAGCACTTGCTAGTGAAGACTGAGGCAAAGAAGTAATTGAAACTACTCAGCCTTCTCCAAACCCACGGTAGCCAGTTCTCCTGATAGCTTCCAGAGAGGGCCCACATTATCCCTAGTGTGTCTTTTGTTTGCTACATACCTATAGAAGCCCTTCCTGATACCCTGGATGCTGTGTTTCCCCTCGCTCTGGTGTTGAAGGCATCCTCTCTGGAGCTACTCACCTTGGCAAATGACCGTTAGTGGCCAGTGATGACCGTTTCAGAGCCAAGCTGCTAGAAAAGCATGACATGAGTTGAGAATACCATGTACTTTTGATACGAAAGGCACTGCAGCTTCAAAAATTATCTTGTATTTCTTCCCCTGGAAAGGGAAAACATACTAAAAAGCAAACAAAGAATGGGATGATTTTGATCTCTTGAAGAGATATACAGAATAGAATGTTCTACTCAGGGTTTTAAGAATTTCATATTTTATCCCTTTTAGCTGCAGTCAAAAGATCTTAGTAGCTGACTGGGTGGATAAATGGAAAAACAGCAAGAAAATATTGCAAAACCGTTTGGAAAAAAAAAATACTTGTAGCATTCACTGGCTCATGTGAATATTTTCCACTTTCAGATTAAGCTTTAAGCATGTTATTAAATACATTGTGCCAATGGGGATTCCATCCAAAAGAAGACAGTTAGCAGAAGAAGGGAACAAGACAGTTAAGCTCTTTCAGATATAGCAAACAGCTTTGCCCCAAACTCACGGGCTCTCCTCACCAGTATCAAGCATCATTGCTTAGCCCTGCTATAGACATGCTTATCTTCAAGTGTGTACTGAGAACTTATGGCTGTACTGCTGCATTGATTAAACCCTGGCTTATCATAAATTGATCAAGGTCTTGAATCTCATTCTACTATCTTCCCATTTTCACAAGATGTTCTTCATCTTGGTATTCAAGACATGCAGATCATCATACCTCTTTTGATCCCAGCCTTGAGAATACCAGGCCCTCCCCCTCTGCTTTTAAACCTCAGGCATATTTTTGCTTTAAATAATCTCATAATCAAAAAGGCAGTTTTAAACTGAATTTTAGTTCATATCAGTGGAAAGAAGTGTGCTAAGAAAACTCACGTAAGCTTGAGTGTTCTTCGTTAGTTGTATGGCACCGTAGCAATAAATGAACTAGTGCATGTAGTATTCATCACAGCTGAAGGATTACACGCCATTCAACCAGAATGGTTTCCAAAGAGATTATGGCATCCTGATCAGAGGCACTTCACAACTGGCCATTAAACCTGCTGGTGGTTGAAGCTAACCCATCTGTATCCCAGACATTTACCAAAAGCCTTCTTCCAACTTTATGACTGGTAGGAGCATCTAAGGATTTACCTCTGTTTGCCTTTAACATCCACAGAGGTAGAAGAAATTCTGTCAATCGGGGAGCCAAATCCTGGGAAACTTCTTTTCTTCTTGGTCTCAGTCACCTCATTCTCCAGTGACACCAGCTCATCAAGAAGGAACAGTTTGGCTGCCAGGTTGGTGGCTGACTTCTCTTCACTGGCAGCAGAAGGCTCCAAAGGCTGCAAAAGAAAGAAGGAATGTTTTTGCTTGCTGCTTAAGTTGCAGAAAAAAAATTTCAACCAGCATCACAGCAGCAGTCCTGTAAATACATAATCACTAGAACAATGAATGTGGGATAAGGTTTTAAAACAAAGATCCTTCTGTGAAACATGGCCGTTTTCCACCCACAGAAGCTTGCTATAAAAGGTTGGGATTTTAATTTTTTTTTTTTGACAGAATTGTACTTGTCTTAATTATTTTTGCAAGAATTATCAAAATTCATTACTTCATAAAGCCTGTTTTTGCAGGCCAGCCCACTATCCCTATCTCAGCAGTGTGATAAGTATCACTTACAGCATGAGCCAAGTAATTCAATCCTTTTTAAAAATGCAATCACCACCACCAGACTCCAATATTCATCCTGATATTTTTCAGGAAAAAGGTTTTCATTTTTTAAATGAATGCTAATAAATAGTAATGAAAAATTCTACAGAATTTTCCATCCAGAGCTGACTAATTAAGTAACTGTTACTCAAAAAATATCCTAAGATAAACTTGCTCAGCACTGACATTCAAAGAATTTATGCAATAACATTATGTGGGGAGGAAGAAAGGAAAGAACTGTATGTTGAACTGACACAGTGTTTTGAACCTTAGTTATGTCATTAGGCATAACATCTTTTCAAAATCAAACTTTACTTTGCTATCCAGAACAGCTGGGTACATTGAGGTCTGTCAAGAGAGAAGTTATACAAATCAAAGTGAAATAGTCGTCTTCCAAATAACAGAAAAATAGGGCAACAGCTAGTCTACAAAAGATGTTAGGCTCAAATCATTCTTTCTTCAGATGAAACGTTTGCCTTCTTGCTCCACCTGATCTTCACAGAATTAGATAGAAATTTCTAACTAAAACTTTTATTATGTGACTTGAAACACATTTTCCTCTATCTTCAGAAGCACACCACTCTCTTATTCACACACAGTCAGTTTAGTACAAATGTAATCAAGCCATCACATGGGTGATTTTATGTGCTTGTCTCTATTGTGGTCTACACCATACTTGTGGTGGTGATGTTTCCCACTATTGATGGGTGGCACAACCAGTGATGGAGTGAATAAAACAGTGGTCTTTACATAAGGAGGAGGACATGACCACAATGATCACACAAATGATGTAGTACTGTTAATACTTTTGCAAAGGATCTCATACTGTCCTCTGATTTTACTTTTTATGAGCCTCAAGTGCACTGAGCAATGCTTTCTGTTCCCTTTCAGGGTTATAAAACTTTCATAAAGGTTTTCAGGAAAATTATGCCTTTAAAAAAATACTGAACTCTCCCGTCTGGTTAGTGGGGATACATAGCTACAATAATGTTTGAAACTAGAAGGTCAGAAATAGCCTCTGCTCTTGAATACTTCATGCAGTCCCACTTACTTTGTCTTAAAAAGGATATAATGGAATTGTAGGAAGAGACAGCTAAAATGATAATCAGAAGTAGACAATAGTTTTCCTGTGGTGAACCACTGAACAAAGTACAACTTCACAGATAAACAGAGATAACCGTGAGTTACAGGGGGTAGAATGGAAGGTTTATAAACTTATGAACAGCAAAAACGTGAATAAATACTAGCTTTTTTTTTTTTTTAACTCAAGAAAAAGAGTTTCTCGATCCACCCAGTGAAGTCACCAAATGGTGGATTTAAGATAAATACAGGGAGCAACTTATTAAACACAGCACATACATGCAGTGGAATGCATTGCCAAAAGACGTCATGGATCGTCAGCAGCTAAAAAGTGCCCTGGTCCAGTGCAAGCCTATGGAGATGTTCTGTTCTGTTCTTTTTTCTTTTTTTTTTCCCCACAAATAAATTGTTCACAATAAAATATTTCATTGTTAAAGACAGGCCACCAGGTCCTTGTAGCATCAGGACAGCAGTTGCTGCAGCACTGGTGTGCGGAGTGGTTCCCCCAAGCCCTATTTGCATAACAAATATTATTTTGTATAATCAGGGCATCCTCATTTGGAGACAGAGACTAAAGTAGAAGGATCCATCAGTATTCCCCTACAAGCATTTAGCTTCTAAGCTGATCTTAAAAACCTGTGTAAAGGCCCTACAGCCAAATAATGCTACTTTGATTAAACTTTCAGACCCTTGATTTTTCTTATGGCATAAATACCTTTCCTGCCAAATCTGTTCTGTGTCAGTATGACATAAAAAAAAAAAGAGCATGCGGTAGAAGTGTTTTCAGGTGCAATCTCTGCATATGCTGGATGAAACATGAGACAACTCTCCCATTTCATCTGCTGCTTTCCTCCACAAGCTTAGGCAAATAACTTTACACCTTCCCTCTCCTGGTCTGTTCAGCCTCCTTTAATTTGTAACTTCTGTCTTCTGAAAGCTGCAGACTTCTCATGCTATTATTTGTCTTTAAGAAGAAGAATGAAACCTTTCCTTCAGTGTCATAAGTTTGCTTCCCCTCCTCCATCACCTTCTTCCCCTCTTCAGGAAGTTTTCTACCGGAAGTCACTGGACAATGTTTTAAGACACACAAAATCCCATGGGATTTCAGGAGATTCAGTTGCATGAATCATTCTGTCTGTTCTCCCAGAGCCACACAATTTGCATCACTTTCTTCACCAGGCTACTCCTTTGCCTTTGTGGAGTCAATATTGGTTGTTTACCTTCCAGCACTGGATACTGTGTTGTCTTCTACACTCTGCGGCAAAGAATAACCAAAGGATATGTGACTACCAGCAGAAACATCCACCTACCTCTGGAGCTGCCTCCACAAGGAGCACTGAGGTAGAACGCCACTGCAGCAGGGTAATAACAAGGGCCAATTGCACCACAACAAGCTGGAACTGCAGCATCTGCGAAAGAAAACAATCTGTTAACAACTTCACAGCTGCGTTCCCTTGGAACCTAGCTCCAAAGGTCTTGAAGTGAAAGCAAAGGGAGACTGTTCCATGGCTGTTAATATGTTTTATCTTACAGAGTCACTGTATAAACCCCACCAGCTGAATGCTTTTCACCTTTGGGTGCAAAACGAGCTCCCTTCTCTTTCTTTCTTTACAGCCCTACAAAACTTTTATTTCCTTTCTGCACATAGCTCAGTCCTTGAAGTGTCAGCAGCAATGACCTCAAACTTGCGTTAAAATCGGATGAACTAGACACTCACTTGTAAGCAGGGAAACTTTAGCTCTTAGTCACCCAGGTTGGCAACGACCTCCCCAGTGCTGAACAGGTGCTTAAACCTGTTACAGAAATCACACACCTCTCCAGCAGCATTTTGAAAATGAGGCTGCATTTCACCAGTCCTCACATGAGTTAACAGTAGCCACAACTTCCAGGATCTTCCTGGGATCCTGAAAAAAAATTGTGCAGCTCCCACACCTGAAAAAAATATATTCCAGGTGGGAATATTTTAGCTGATGTTAATAAGAACTAGGCTGGGGCCTTTAGTGCCAAAGGTATCTGCTAATTTGCGGATTACTCCGTCTCCAGGTCCTGCCCAGGAGCGTAATTCAAGCCTGATTCTGCCATTCTTTGCTGATTCTCCACTTGGCAAAGCAGAAATAGAAAAGATGTATAAATACATTTCTATGGCTTATGATAGTTGTTTCATCCTCTATATAGAAAATTTCCCATCAGGCAGTAATACATGGTAAAAAACATTCGGCTTTGTAATTTTTCCCCACACTACAAAGGAGAAAAGCCACAAAACTGTTAGAGTCTAGTTTTATAAGGTAAAGATATAATATTTGTAGTGTTGTTTCTTAAACACTTGGCTTTTTCCAATATGTTTTACGTGTGCTTCTGTATTCTGTTATTTGGTTACCTCATTATATATGTACAATTTTTTTTATATATATTGTCCATGAGGGATCAGCAGTGAGGAAGAAAGCTGCTGGTTGTTCTGTAGGGGTGAAGCAGACTTAGTCCACTGGAACCAAAGGACAAAGTCAAAGCAATAAGCCAGGTGGTACCACTGTCTCTCAGTTCAGTGGCAACAGCATTAAAGTCAGACAAGAGTCTGTCTGGGTGTTTTTAAAGCTGTAACCCTCCACAAGGTATATTTTTTTTATGTGGGTGTGCATTGAAATTTGAAGTAGTAGTAGTCTACTACCTTCACAGGTAACCACATCCTGATTATTTGGATACAGAGACATAAAAATAAATGGCAAGGTTAAAAACACAGGTTTTTATGATGGTTTAATGTCTGTGCTGGTATTCATTCAAACCAAGGACCAAATTGCTAAAAATAGCAACTGGTACACTAATCAAAATAATCATTAAGGCACCTGCAACACAAAAGACATTTGATTAACTGGTCAGAACTTGATGACAGCTAAATTAGAAGAGAAGGAAACTGCAAGACTTAAAGCTTGGCTCTAGTTCCCATGGAAATTAGTAGCTGGTTTAAAAAAGAGCAAAACTTAAGTCCAGCAAAAGCCTGTTATGCTGATTCTCATGCACTGGTGGGACCAAAGCAGAAGAAAGAAGCAGGGTTGTTCTACCCAAAGTAGTTTAGCTCTAGAAAAGCATTTGCAAAACTTGCGGTGCAATGAGGATTATGTAAACATAATCAAAATCACACTGTCTTCTGTCAGTCAGGGACTTCACTTTCCATCTTCAGCCATATCACAGTATCTTAGTTGTTAAAATAAGTTGTTGCTCTTCCTCCTGGAGCTCATCTGAGCAATTGGTTAAGCAGAGCCCTCCTGCCAAAAGGGGCTTTTCCAGCCATGCGCTGGCTTTTGCTTTACCCCATCCACATTTTACCTTGACCCATTCCAAGAGAGACCTAGAGTGAAGCTTGGCAGTATTTGTTACTGAAGGAGAATAAGCAAAGCTTTTATGACCACGTGGGCCTTTGCAAGACTCACCTTTACCACTTCTGTTGAATTTTCATTGTTCTGGAAAACACTTTACCATCAGTCTCACAGAGATAGGTCAAGGGATTGGGGTATAATTCCATGTCTTTAGTATCTCAGGGTCTGGTCTGGTGTTATTTGGAATAAAATATGGTTTACCTTTCACTAAATGTAATTGCAAGTCTGAAAGTCAGACATACGTATGTGCTTTAGTGATATGTTAGCTTGAAAAGTATCAAAACTAAAATTCCTCATATAACTAGGTATCTTGTTGCAGGTCCAATTAAAATAAAATTAAAGATAAAAGAAAGAACATTATCCTACCTTATCAAAGCAGTATAAACATTCAAAACTTCTTCTCAGGAATATGTGCAGAGTCATTTTCCAAGAAAAGATCACAAGAAAGCAAAATTCTTTACCAAACGAACTGTAAGTCTCCAACATCAAACCAGAAAACTTAAAAGATGTTTTTCTTTTAAAGAAAAAAAAAACAACAAAGCAACACAAAACAAAGCAAGAAACACAAAATAAAAACCCAAAATGACATCTTGAAGATAAGTGGGCTGAACAAACCCCAGACAGCATGCAATTCATCACTAAGCTCCAAACCCATTGCCTGTCAAAAATGGTAACAGCTATCATTGCTCTTACCCATTTGAACTATCATATTTCACATTACTGTGGAGATTACTCTGTAAGCATAAATCATAAGAGCTTTGTTTTTCTTGCTGGCCCATTAGGAAGAGAACTGAGGCAAGATATCAACGCCTTGCACCATAATCTTTCACTTCAGCTGCCACTATATTGATGACTATGCTCTGCTTGTTGTTGCAACACCAGCATGGCAGATGTCTGAGCTCACCTGCAAATGAGGACCTTGCTCTTGCAACGAGCATGTTGTGGAGGAGCCCAGAAACTCCATGGGCCTTGTGCTGTATGCTCTCAAGCTGACCTGGTGCAGAGCCAAAGCACGACTATCCCACAGGTACTGGGAAGCTCCTAGCGGTGCCCATTAGGACTCCAGACCTTCTGCTTTACGAGCACTGGGATGGTACTGATGAGCCTCTATCACCTGTTAGACAAAAGGACCTCTTCCAACTGGCTGGGGGAAATCACAGATGTGTATGCAAAACAGTTACTGAGGTATTTTATCGCTACTTCAGTGCTACAAAATAGAACCTATCTTAATCAAACGTACCACTGAGTCCTAACTTTGGCCTTACTAGTCTTGGAACGGACACCTGATGATAATCTACCCTGGCCAAAAAAGTTATGATGGATGAGTATCTTACCGAAAGAACAACTTCAGAATGGCTTGTGTGTAGCTCTGACAATAAGTCTGGTCCTGCTGAAAAAATTTGCCCTACTTTTCAAAGCTGTAGGGTAGATCTTCTGATCATGGTCATTACCACACAGTGAAAAATACACCCATATCAGCATTTCTAGTGATTTCAAAAATTCCTAAGGGACCTTGTGTATCTCAAATGTAAGTTTCTAGTCACGTAAATATTGAAGAAAAGGAAGAAAAGTCTAAACAAAACCCACCCTCAGAAACAAGAGCAGAGTCCAAACATAGGTTGAAGTGGTGGTTTTTTTCTCATCCCACAGGTGTGATATGGAGCATTTCTTACATACTGCTTTCTAAAAAGATACTGAAGCAAGACATTGAATCGTGGGACTCAGTAGTGAAATTGAATATAAGCAGTCAGTGTCAGATTGTGCAGTAATAATTTATGGAGTAGGTGTAGATTTTTAAACAATGCCACGTATTTCCATTAGATATATGGTATAGACATTGCTAACTTCTACAAAGTAAATTGCCCTCTATTTTCAGTTTCCTGACTGTGTATATAAATAGATGCAGGTAGGTTTCATCTGATGGAATCAGAGAGAACTTAAAATTCATGGACTAAAACAGGAGGTGTATGAGTAGTTATTTTGAGATAATGCCTAGGTATTTTTGTGTTCCAAATGAAACATTCTGTCAGACAGTATTTCAAGGACAAGGATGTTCCACATTCTGAAAATTAAGTTCCTTAAAGGTTTCTCAAGAAGGCATTTTGATTAGTCATTACTTTTCAAAGTCTTCATTTCAATAATCACACTCACTGTAGCAATACGATTTCCTGTGTTTGGTCCTGACATGTTTTGATATCACAATGACAGTCATCTTTGCCTGCATTTTACTGAATTCTCTATTATAAATGCTGACTAAGCTATTAATAGCTGTGCTTTTGGTAGGCACAGATTTGGTCAGAGATGCTCAGTATACAACTATTCCTACCATCCGTACTCAGATAAAACAGATGCAGCAACGGCTTAGTTCCTTCAGGGCTTGGACTAGACTCTGCAGTGACCCTGCCTGTGGAAGACACGAAGCTAGTGGGAGCATCATACAAACTGCAAAGCTCATATAAAGAAAGACTGAAAATGTGTCCTCTAGTTCCAACGCAGAATTTGGAAAGCATACAAATGAACACAGCCTTGCTGAGGTACATTTGCTTAACAGACACAAGCACAATTCAGAAAAAAAATAACTAACAAAGGTGGACAAACACTTGTGGAAGACCAGTCAGTGTTGGTCCTCATCTCTTCATTTGAACAAAAAGCATGAAACCAAATGGCCACACAGAACAAATGAGGCCACTTTTCCTTAGAATGGGCAGGAAGGAGACAAGTTGGACATCTTGCAAAACTGACTACACTGTGTAATAAATCTATTTTTAACAACAAATTTTAGAAATTTAAACCCCCAAGCTCAAATCAATTCCGCATATGTAGGAGACCATGAAGCTGGAGACACAAATAGAAGTGGCAAAATCTGTCTAGAAACCTCAGGATTATTATATAAGGAAGATGATATGAAGTGTAAGAAAATATCTCTTAATGGGAAGGACCTATTTGCACCTTTCCAAAGTAAGGTAATTGAGAGAGCTGCAGTATTTCTGGTATGCATAATGGAAAACAAAACATTATTAGACTATTCTTCATTGCCAACAAACTCTCAACCCTCTGCTATTTATATATGTACTAACTGAACGCGCCAACTTTTCTAACCATTTCTAACAATTTTACATTTAGATTTCTTTAGCATGAGGACTAAAACCATTCACTATTAGAGTGCCATCTTCAGCATTTGAGGTAAAAACAAGAAACCTTTCTATCAATAAAAATCAGTAGATAGATTTCTATATTAGAAAAAATATCTCCTTTCCTTTCAACATTGGAGTGGTAAGTGGAAGTTCTTCATACCTGGTATGAAGGATATATTAGCAGAATACATTATCAATATAAAATATAGACCATTTAAAGCCTAGTAAAAATATCCTTCAAGATATGCCTTCAAGATAACCTCTTAAGACACAAGAATGGCATTGGAATTTCTTAACGAGACTCAAACACTGATGCTGATTTACTGGTTAAACACTTAAGTGTTCTGAGCAAGGATATTACTTGAATAAAAGTCTTGGGGAAGATGCATTGCAAATGGAAATTAGAGAGTATAATCTGTTTCTCTGAGTTGACTAAAATGAAAAAGAAAGTTGCAATCACTTGCAATCTTTGTTAAGGTCAATCAAGAGAGCTCTTAAAATTGTTGCGTGGTCCACATTTTTAATTTGCTGTGTATGACCAGAGAGGCCATGCATTCAAAGAGTGAAAACAAAGCCCTAATCTACCAAAATCAGCGTAGCAGGTATTTACAAATACTGAAGAACACCTGGCCCAGTCACTTGTATTTTGCAGTTTTCCCATCATTTACACCATAGATTTGCCTGGTTTAGGGTGGATTTCTTGAATATAATTATATTCATAACGTTTTACAAGAAAAGTAGATTGAGCTGAATTTTGAATACAGGTGAGCAGAGGCAGATATATGTAATAATTTGCCTCAGGCTCTCTGAGTGAATCAGTGGGCAGGAGCACAAAATGTTCCTGCAGCTCCTCAGCTTTCAGCTCTGAACTCCCCATGAGAGGATGGTCATTCCAAATTGAAAAGCCAAGTAAGGAATGCTAAAGGCACTATGTGCTTGTGCTTCAAAAATTAGTGGATTTTGAACTTTATTGTAGCCTCTGGACATCTAAACCAAAGGTTACTCACTTGTATTTACTTGTACAACGCCAGTCTGGGAGGCAAAAAGAAACAGTGAAATAGTTTTTAACTCAGAATGAAGAAATTACAATGACTATCACTGAATCAGTGTCTGCCCTCATTTACAAAGCTGAAGTAGTCAGATCACTGGATAATTGCTCTGTGTAGGAATGTTTTTGCAAGGTTATTCTATTATTGCAGGACTGTGGAAGAATCTGGATCAACATCTTCCTAATATAGTATATAATAAAATCCTCTTGGAGATTCATAAATTAAAGACATTCCATAAATCATTTATCTTGTGGCTTACCGTACATTACATGCAGCAAACTTGTCTACCACATGTTATTTAGTAATGCAGAGGAACTATTATGTCATAGCTCTTCAGATGATTTTAAGAAATACCATGCATTTGACACTAACATATACAGAGGAAAGTCCATAATTATATACACAGACAGTAGTTTACTGCAAAGCACCGCAAAAGCATAAAAGTAACTAGTCACTGTTGTAAAATACACTGACACATTTAGTCTAAATATTGGCTGATTAAGTGAAGGAAGTTTCCACTGGATATTATTAGTTCAGTTTTAGTACCAAAAATATTAGGTGATAAGCATCTTATTATCTTAATCCCAAAGTGGAAAAAGAAGCTGTGCCTTTCCCATCAGACATGAGCATGTGTATACCTTGTGCATGCCTGTTAATACAAAAACTTGAAAAAAAAATAAAAGGAAGCAAGCACAGACAGAAGGGAAGAAAGCTTCTGTAAACAGAGCAGAAGACACAAAACAACCCCAAACCATCTCTGTCCTCACTCCTCTTACCTTGCATTGGATACAAGAAATTCCAACCTTAATGGTCCTGCTATGTTCTTCCCCCTAACTTGTCCCTAATGTTCAGCTTTCTTTCAGAGTTTTTATAGTCTCTGCTGTAGGCTACAAACTCCAATCCCTGCCTTTGCTTTCTCTTACATCATTTCTAAAGATTTTCCACTGATCCTTGCCCTAAACCTTTCTCTGTCCTGCACATACTTGCCTCACATTTGTTATATTTATTGCTCTGATCAAGATGATTAGGTTATAATTAAAGGTCTCATTTTTGTCGTGGTTTTTTTCTTTTTTTCTTTCTAGATTCAGACAGGCATAGGGGTGGAAAGATTTTCAGCAGCACCTCCAGTCCTCTAACCTCTCACTTTTGCAAACTGCAGTACAGAAACCTGATGTCCTGGTAATTTTTTTGGTGGTGTTTTTAACTTTATTTCTCAATGACAACAGGAATAACTTTAGAAGGACTGCATTAACTTCAGGAAGAAATGAATTAGTGCATTTTAGCAAACTGACACTATTGTAACATAAGCATAAAAAAATGAGTGTGTTTTGTAAAGCAAGTCACAAGAATTTAAGTCTTTAAGACACTTCATTTCAGTTATAGAAATGATTGCAAAGTGTGAGCTATGAAGATGCCTATCTTCCCTAAACAGTACCAGAGGATCTATTTCTTTCCCTGTTTGCCTCACTAGAATAAGTCTATTGCCCCTTTTTTTAAATTTCAGTTTTTAATTGATTCACACAGCAATTGCAGACCAGTTTTGGGGTCTAAAATTCCAGCCTTTGCAGGCTGCAGTTAATTCATAGTGAGTTTATTCTTTAAATAGATAGGCACAGTACTTTAAAATAGTTTTTACTCTGACTTGCTAAAAGCTCTTCCTACAAGCAATGGAAAGCAAAACGAAATTTCAAATGCAACTTTGAGATAGGTGGGAAAAATTTGGCAGCCAGGAAGCAAAAGCTTTGATTTCGTCATCTGCCTTGATCAGAATGATTAGAGAA